GCAGCCAYTTCTCCCATCCTCATGGGCCATCCCCTCCACAGAATTAGCCTGCAGTGAGTACTGAGGTGCCCAGAGCTGAACTGGAGCTGGCACTGGCTGCTCTCATACCAGGAGAGYTTCCTGTCCATTCAGCTGACTGTGTGTGAAGCCTTTCTAGCTACCTCTGCCCAAATTGTAGTTTATTTTCCAAGCCACAGTGAAAACAGCTACAAAGGGCAAATGGCTCTCCTGGTGCAGTGGGAGGAATGTACACAGCTTGTTACCGCAGGGCTCAAACCGTTCTGTGTTGTCACTGTTGTCGGTATTTGGAAAAGGTGGCAGACATGGATAATAAGGGAGATGTCAAAGGTTAAACAGCAGAGATTAGATGAACACAAAGACATGTTAAGGAAGTGTTAACTTCTTACCGATTAGACAAAAAAAAAAAAAAAAAAAAAAAAAAGTAGTACACAGGAAAAAAAAACCCACACTGTTTCAAAGGGCCTTGGGAGTCATCAATGAAACAGCAGCGTTCTGCTGCCGCAGGACTAAGGAGAAGGGGAGAAGAATGGCTTTGGCTGGCCTCAAACTAAAATCTGTGACAAGATCAAAGGAAACCAGATCTGCCTGGCCACCCCCTCCTCCTCCTAACGTTACCACTGCCTCTCACTACAATAATTGAATCAGATTTGGCGTTTGGGGAGGAGGCTTTCTGGGTTTGTTTTTAGAGTTTAGTTTAATGGATTTATTTTACAGCAAGAGGTTTTAAGCAAATCCCCCTTGAGCAGCCCTTGCCGTGGCCAGAAGGAATGGGAGTGACTAGTGGAAGTGCTGAGCTCCTGTCTAGGCTGGCCAACTGCTGATGGGTGGTTTTCCCTGCTGGAGACGGGCAGATTCTCTGCCCTCGCCTCTCACCCCATGGCCAAGGGCAGTACTGCACTCTGAGCCTGGCTCCTGGCCTAAGACCCAGAGTAGGTATGTGAAGTCACCTCTTTTTTTTTTTTTTTCCTAGTGGAAACGCAGTTTTTATCAGCCCATGGGGAAAACTGCAAGTGCTATGCTGAGAATTTAGAACCGAGCTCCTCAGTAGTGACTTGGCACCTCCAGCTGGTGGCCGCGCGGCCCCGTGGCTCAGCAGCACTGTGGCTGCCGTCCAAGGGCTGCAGAGGCTCGGGAGCTTCCCTTCTCTCCCCTAGCCATGTGCACTCTCCCTACCGCCTCAGAGCCTTTGTTGCTATCTTGGAATTAGCCTTGCCCTGGCCCAGACCCAAGAGAAATGATCTAAGATACCATGGAGCCTGCACCAAGTGTTGTGGTGCTGGAGTTTGTCCCTACTCCTACTCTCAGCGAGGTGGTTCTTGTCCACACAGAGGGGACTTAACAGCTTTAATTTCAGAAACCTTCAGCCTTCATCTGCAGGCTGTGGGCAGCTCTCAAGTTTTCCAGCTATCTCCCACATTGGTCTACAAGTGTGCAGGCATATACTGCTTGTTGGGGGACTCCACTGTGGTACAGAAAGCAGTACAAAAAGCTTTGTCAGGCAGGGCATGACCTCAGTGGGCAAGTTATACCCTTAGAGCACCTAACCAAGCAGGGCAGTTTCCACACACACCCTACGGTGAGTAGGACTGGGAGCAGATAAGCCTGTCTGTGATACATAGTTGCTTCCTATCATAGCTTTATGGCTACCCACTTGTAGCAGATAAGACTCTCATTAACTCATCCTGTTTATAGTCTCCCTACCAAATGGCCACCCTTTGCCTGTGAATCCTTGTGCACAGACTCAGGCCAGCATCTTACTGGTGTAGAGCYGTAACTGCTTGCTGTTCTTGTGGGACAGATGCCTCTTCCTCTATCTAAACCTCCTGCTGCCTCTAAGTGTCCAGGTGTGCTCAGGTGCAGAGTTTAGGCATCCCTTTGTCCTTGCCTCTGCTGTGGTAACCCCCAAAGATGCAGTTTCTGCCAGTAAGGTGTTAGGTAGCCGAAGTGGAGTGAGTTCTTGGCCAATAGCACCCTCTACAGCCAGCCACGAGGAGCAGCTGACAGCACGCGGGATGCGGCTCGGAAAATACCAGGGTGGGTTTTATCTATGATTCATTTATCTCTGTTCTACAGTCACACTGGGAAAAGGAGGCAAGCAGAGAGTAGCTTGCCCACCTTTGCATATTGGTTTAATACCCCAATTTGTAAAGGGCATTCACTTATCTTCTAGTAACCTCCCTTGTTCTCCTACTAGTCCTTGCTCTTCCTTCCCATTACCAGAGCTCATGTTTGCCCACTTCACTTGAGGCTATCAAAGCTCTGGGGCACTGTCTCATTCCATGGGTAAACAACTATGCAATGGCACTGTAAAGATGATGTTTAATAGCCATTTTGTGCTGCCTTCTCAAATTCCTCTCATAAGATACTGTGGTGTTTCTTTTCCAATATACTTTTTAAATTGTATAATCTGCCTTATGCTACAGGATAGTTTTATACAGGGAGGTCTCCATGGATGCCCACATTCCTCATGCTCTACCTGCTGAATCCTGCAGCAACGTGCATTCTGAAAAATGGTTACACCAAAGTGTCATCCAAATGCTCCTTCTAGAGCAGGATGCTTTACCATCATAAGGGTCAGCACAGAGCTGCAGGGCTTTACTAACTCTGTATCTGGAGTGCCCTGGAGTGGAAAGCMGACAGGAGGAGACACTCAGCCGTATGTGCTGGCTATGGATGCTCAGTCCTTGCATACTTGAACCTAAAGGCAAAAGATGATGCATCCCCTGTGTAAGCACTAGCCTGGCCTCTGTGCCAGCCCACCCCGGGGCCTATGAGCAGGGGCAGTGCTGTCCTTACTGACTTCTTGTTGGTGGTCCGGACGACACAGCAGCGCTGCTCCTTCTCCACAGAGACACTGTAGACTTCCTTGGGATAAGGCAGGTTACGGATCCTCCACTGGAAGCTGGTCAGGGTATCCTTCCTCATGAAGACAGGCTGCAGCAAACAAGTACCTTTAGTGAGGCCCCTCCAGCTGGGTCCTCTTTTCCCTAGCCCTTTTTACTGTGCTATTTTGAGAGATTTCACATAGACAGTGAGATTTTCATATTTCATAACCACTGAACTGTTGATTGTTTTTCT